ATCTACAATGACTCCCCCCAAAAAAACAATTTGAGTGAAAAGTGCAATTCATACACCATATGAAGGGCTTTGCCAGGTGCTGGGGGAAGGGGAGAAGTGGAATAGTCATGGTATCAGGGTTAGCAACATCAAACCTGCAGATTGACTCAGATTTTCACCTTGATCTTTCATTCATTCATGCACAGATATTCACAGAACCTACTCATTCATGTCACTGCCTTTGGCCATTTGGGGAGGATCAAATATGAACTAGATTCTGATCTCAGGGAGGAAATAGAGGTGATGAGACTTTTCCAAGGTCACTCCCACTTCCCCCCAAATATGGATTTCCCTGGGTCATGCACTCCATCTATCTCACTGGAAGAGGCCTCTCTCCCACTGCTGACCTCGCCTCCTCCCTCCTGCTCATTCTCCTCTCCTCTCCTCCTGTATCAACTTCAGAATCCAGCCTCACCCCCAGCTTGAGGACAGACAAACCTTGCAGGTTAGGAAGTTGACTCTATTCTTCTCTATCTTCTTCCACACACAGCCATGCTAATGAACTAATGTTCTGTATCCTGTCTACCTGGACACGATCCATCGGAGCTTCAGTGTTTGTTTACCAGATAACCAGATCCCTCTGCTCACAGGCTGTGAGACCTTGGTCAAGTTTTAGTACAACTCTGTGCTTTCATTTTCCTATATGTACAATACAGGGGTGATAACAGGTCCTATTCATTGCTGAAAGGATTAAATGAGATAATCTAAACAAAGTGCCTAGGACAGATCCTGACACAGAAATTGCTCCATCTGTGTTGTTTATTATTACTATCATTAACTTTGGGGAAATCAGTCTTGAACACAGTGTGAAATGGGTTCTGAACAAGATGAAATTTGAGACAACAAATGGGCTCATGCAGCAGCCCAGAAAGAGAAAGAGAAGAATGCAGGCAACAGAGACCCCCGGTTTCCAGCTTTAGAGTCGGCAGACTTGGAATCAAATTCTGGTCCCACCTTTTCTTAGCTGTGCTGCCTTAGTTAAACTCACCATTCTAGCCTCAATTTCCTAATCGGTGAAATGGGCATAATAAGGTCTCCTGAGAGTGTCTTCTAGATGAGTGAACTTCTATGAGAGAAAGTGGATAAAGCTCCTGATGTACACAGTAAGCACTTGATAAGTATTAATTCCCTCCCTATCCCCTTTTTTAAATAAAAAGCTAAAAAAATAACTGAAACAAACACAGAGATCTAAGTCTTTCTTTTAAGGTGCTATTGTTTTGAGCCACATTTGTATTTTCTCTAAGTAACACACTCCCGCTGATAAATTACTTCCACCTCTTAGCCTGAGTCAAAAAAGCAAGATCAAGAGTTTCTCTTGTCCTTCCCGGCATGTAGACCTCAGCAACCCATTTACTCTTCTGAGCCTCTGTTTTGTCATCTAGTAAAAGGTAGAGTGTGGCACCTTCCCACCTTCCCATCTGCTTTATGTGATTTTTAGGGGCCCCTGGGGCCTAAGTTAATTCTACAGTTACATTAAACCCAAAATTACACTTAACCATCCAAAATCAGATCTAGCTAGCTGTCCCAGGTCTGGATATTAGCACAGACTTCCAAATACTAGCCCTGAAAAAGGTGTGCAAGTCAGGGTGAGGAGGAGGTATTTTTCTTCTACTTAATTGAGAATAATGAAAAATAAAATACACTTAAAGATTAATATTGCAAGACATGTCTATGCTGAAACCCAGGTTCCCAAGAGCGGTTGTGAGAATTGGTGCTATGACAGTAATCATCTCCCTTAGCATTTAGATGAGGAATCTGAAGTAAGAAGAATATGAGGATTACACAAATTAGCAAGGTATCAATGTCAAAATCACAATTGGATTGACTCCTACCCACTGCAAGCTCCCTGCCTGTACCACAGGGGTAATTTGATCTGCATTCGTTTGGTCTTACATTACAGCAAGTCTAAAGGGAGCTGAGGGTGAGGTCCTAGGTTTGCCTCTACCTGCCAAATGGTGACCTTCTGGACATTTGCCTTGCTAAACCTGCTGCCTCGTCTGTAAAATGATGATTCAAAACATCATTCCCAAGTTGCTTCTTGCTTTAATGACATAATGCCATGGCTTCTCTCTCACACCAAGACTCCCTTTCATTTTCATGATTAACCCTGGTTCTAAGCTTCTTCATACCACTTGGTTCCCTGTTTCAGCTGCATCCTCAGAGCCTGGAAAGGTTCCGTGTTGCCCTGTAACACCATCCCCAAAAGCTGGCTGTCATTTCTCCCCAACTCTTCCTTATATGTCACCATGTTGTAATTTGACATCAACCATCATGAGAATGCATACACCATGAAAATCAGTAAATACCCCAAGTCAAATTGAGGCTTTCTTTCTTCTGAAAACCAGTTGTTAAGTATACCAGCACAGCACTTCCAGGAGCCAAACCCTCCCATTTCCAAGTTCAGCACTGCTGTGGTCCAACCTCGGTGTCTGAGCAACTCTCAGAGCGTCTCTCCTAGGGTTATAACCCACTGAGGCCTACAGTGGCAATGAAGTCTGGGAGATAACAGGGCAAGAAGAGTAACCAGGGCACCCTCTGCTCACCTCCCTGGGCTCCTCAGGGTACAACCGGCCTGTCCATTGGCATCAGCCCACTGTGACCTTACGGGGCTAATGGAGTGGAAAGCTGCCTTGGAGGTTGAAAGGAAATAAACCAACCAGAAATAGGGAGACCCTCCCATGGGTAGTAAGCCAGGGAAAGGGGTCCTGAGAAGTCACATATCCTTCAGTCTGCTGCCAACTAAGCAGGTGCTCTGCTTTTATCAGAATCCTGTGGTTGTGTGCTACTTGGAGCAAGGGAAGGTAAAATAAGGATCACAGGCTGTTGAGTAAAATAACAACAACAAAAATCTGGAAGGGCTTCTGTACCCCCCTTTTATTGCTTATTAGGTTTTAATTCTCTAAGTAAACAGATTTCAGTACCTCCCTCTGTCTCCCAATATCTGTGCCCGCAAAGAGGAAGATATTACTCAGAGGAAGTCATCCTGCTGTCTCAAGAAGAGAAGCATTCCTACGAAAATTGAGAAACACTGCTTGCTCCAAAAGCACTGAATCATTTCAAAGAAAACTAGGGGTTGTATCTGTGCTGCCCAAGATGCACGGCAGCAGCTCCATGTGACTGTCATACACTCTGAATGACAATAGTGCCAGTCAAGACATACAGCAAGTAGTGGATGATAAACGTCAGATTTTAAAGAGTTAATTTTGAAAATGGATGTGCAATGATCCCCATGATTTTTGTGTTAGCTAAATTGAGGTGATAATATTTTAGATATATTGGGTTTAAATAGAATATATTCATAAAATAATTTCACTTATTCTTTTTAGGAATGTGGCTTCATCGTGAAATAAATTATGTTTCTATTGAACTGTGTCAGCTTACAGAGACCAGATCTCATAAACTGCCTGTGAATTGTTCATCCAGCATCTGTCCAAAGACCTTCAGTGACAAGGAACATGCTATTCTTCAGCAAATTCCTCTGCTTGAGAGAGCACAATCCTTAGAAGATTTTTACTATTTGAGTTTTTACCTTTAACCTTGAAGACTATTTTAATCCCCTTGCCCAAGACAGATATCTTGGAAGAGATGGAGAGACGGGATAAGTCCTCACCTACACTGCAGTCTTTTCATGGCTGGGTTAAGCAGCCCCTTCTCCAGCACCCAGGATTAATTGAGAGAAATGTTTTGTCGCCCTGGCTCCTTCAGCTCCAGGAATTTCTTTTCAGCAATTTTTTTTTCTTGAGAAACTTTTCCTTTAAATGCTTAATATACTGCTTTGGACTTATTGGACAATTGATTACTATTGTGGGGGAGGGGGTGTTGCTGCTTTTAATAGCAGACTCTCATGAAGCATTTACTATGGACTGTACTCCTTTCTAAACAAACATATTTTAACTCATTGAATCACCACAACTCATGGGGCAGGAAATATCATTGTCCAAACTAAAGCACAAGTCATAAATCACTTGCCCAAGGTCACACAGCTAGCAAGTGGCAGGGCACAAAGCATATTGTCTTTGCTTGTGTTTTGATAATCCCTGCACTTAAGGCTTTTTAGAATTTAGCATTTTCTTTTATCAGATTCTCTCTCCCTGGGGAGCTTCTTGCCCACAGTCCCAGCAGGTAGGGAGAGGATACCTACACAAACTGCACTCAGTGTTAGTTGATTGACAGGAACAAAGGCGAATAAGGAACCAAAAAAAAAAAAATCAAAATTGAAATCCCTTGTATATCATCTCAAAACAGAAAGGAATGAAAATTCTCCCAGGCTGAGAATTTTCTTAAACAGGCTGAGTCTAGAGAAGTAGAAAGACTTAACAATGTCTTTGGGAATCTGATAAGCTCTGAATCCATCCCTGATGTAGTCATTCATCTTCAGACAAAGAGTAATAAGTAAAAACCCCAATAAATCCACTTATGAGACACTTAGAACAAGTAGAATACAGACAAGAACCCGCTTCAAGGCAATCAAAACTACGAATGATTCAAATGGTTCACAGGAAAAAAAAAATGAGTACAAGTGACATGGAATCTACTTTGGGGTGCTCCCTCGTCCTCTCCTAAGGCCTGGGATAGGGGAAGCCTTTGCCTCTTCCTCTCAGCCAGAGACACTTCCAAGATATTTGTTGGGAGTGAGATGTCAAGAGCATACATGGAAAAAGAGAAGGAGCAAACCCAGAACAGGAAATCCTTGCACGGATAAAACAGAGACGAATGCCTGCAAAAGAGAGGGACCTGCTAGATGGGGGTGGGGGGCTGCGGGCCAAACAGCACCCGCCAAGCAGCCCCTTCCTCCAGCTACCGGCTGGAGGCCATAAGTTGCAGCAGAACCTGGTGCTGCCTGGGGCTGTGGGTGCCTCCTCTCACGGGTATTGACAGGACTCAGGTGTTCATTTAACCCCAGATGGAGGCTGTGTCACAGAACCCTACATTGGAAGGTCCCCACCGCAGCGCAGACTTACCCAATAGCTGCACAGCAACGGGAATGACAGAGACAAAAACCAGGAATAGGGACAGACTCATGGCCCAGAGTTGATCCTTTCATCCACTGATGGAGAAGAGGACGTGAAAAAAGAAGAAGAAGAAAGAAAAGAAATAAAACAGCCAGGGCCCCTGCTTGGTCCAGGTTCTCAGAGATGCTCAGCCGAAAAGGAGGACAGAGGAAGCCGTCCCTTTTAAAGGGCTCCTGAATTTAGGAAAAACCTCCAATAAGGAGATATCCTGTCACATGAGGGTGGCTAGAAAAACAGGAATTCAAAGTTACAACTTTGCTTCGTAAGCTAACTTCTGAGAAGAGCAGGCACAGGGGGAAGGGGACAAAGGCGCACGTGTAGGAGAAGGGTGACCATGGGGGAGGAGGGAGGCCAGAGTGAGAAGTGAGCAGCCAGGCCTGGCCTGCCGGAGGGGAGAAGTGAAACCTCCCGGACCTCGGCCTCCTGCGGCAGAGCTGGCTGGGCCACGCTGCGGGCCATCACCTGGGCCTTGGGCACAAGCCTCCACCCCGGAGACAGACATGGCAGGCTCTGAAGGGGACGGTTTCATGGTGGAAACTGGCACCTAAGGGTTGACACTGACCCCCCTTATTCTCTATATCCCGTGCTTAGAGTTTCTCTCTCTGTCTCTTTTCTTTCCTTCCCCTCCTCCTTCTCCTCCCTCTTCCTCCTGCTCCTCCTCATTTCTTCTTCTTCTTGGAAAGCTTCAAAAGACACAGTTCAGGTAGAGTTTTCCTCCTCTAATCAGGAGAAAGGTGAAAAAGAAGCTCAATCTAAGATGGGACCCCAGGGAGGCCCAGAGGGAGAAAGTTCTAGAAGTCTTTTTCTAGAAAGCCAGAGAAAACAGTGGCAAAGGGTTTACCATACAGCCTTGCTGCCCAGTTTCAGACATCATGGCCCTCTTCTTGTTCAGAAGGGTCCTCTTGCTGGAAGAAAATCTGGTCTTTTGGTCTGAAGATGTGTATTGGTTTCTTAACAAATGGAATTCTTCTTAAAATACAAAGGTCAAAAGATCTTTCATTCAGCACAATATTAACCCCCTCTCCAAACACCTATTTTGTTACTTTTCAGGAGTAAAACAAGAATTAAAAACATTTTGAAACATAGCAATGACAAGATAGCCCACTGGTAACTGAAGTGTGTGTGTTAGTAATTCAAAAGGAAGCTACAGAAAACATTGTATTTTTTGAATTTTTAAATGGTTTATCTCCAAGATTCACTGTCTTTGTGATAAAATTATAAGCTTTACTTCCTAATAAAAATTGTGATACAGTGCTTTCTTTGTTTTTGTTTGTTTGTTTGTTTGTTTTTAGCATGCTAGATTTAAGATTATTCTGACAGGAAAAGATGGTGACAATGTATGACTTGACTGATCAAAAAAAAAAAAAAAAAAAAGCCTGCAAAATAGAACAGATGAAACAACAATGTTTCATTCTCAAACACTGTTTCACTGATTTGGATTTAAAATATTTTAAATGAATCATTTGTGACTTTTAAACATAAATAACTCATATACCCTTCAAATATTTTTTCCTAACTTAGATTCGTGTTGATTTCAGAAGGAAAGATAATTTAAGTAAATCATCTCTACACTTACCATCTGTCTTTAAAAATTAAACAAGTGTGTCATTTGTATAATTAAAAATCACAATCAGTAAGCAAAATAAAGCCAACTGTCACACAAAAATATTTGCCCATGACCTTGACCTTATTGAAACAAACTTTTGCCATGCTTCAAGAGATGATCAGACCAAGGCAAAAGAATAAATCAACTCTTAAAGGAATCATATTTCAGATGATGATAGAGTAGGAAGTTCAGGAATCAATCCCTCTACCTAAATAACCATAGGACTGGCAGGAACTGTCTGAAGGACCTTGTAATTCTATAGCCTTATCTCAAAAATTTAGAGCATCCAAGGGAGAAAGTAATAAAGAGGCTGGTGAATTTCAGTGAACTTTAACTTTTCACATCCTCCATCCCTCATTCCTCATTCCTCAAGCAGCTGTGTATTGAAAAATTAGAAAAGGAAATTAAGGTCGATGCAGTAGCACATGCCTGTAATCACAGTGGCTAGGAGGAGCTGAGGTAAGAGGATCTTGAGTTCAAAGCCAGCCTCAGCAACTTAGCAAGGCCCTAAGCAGCTCAGTGAGACCCTGTCTCTAATAAAATATCAAAAAGGCCTGAGGCCTGAGGATGTGGCTCTGTGGTTAAGTGCCCCTGGGTTCAACACCTGGTACCAAAAAAAAAAAAGAAAGAAAACAAAAAGTTTACAATGGTAAATTTTATGCTATATGTTTTACCTCAATTTTTAAAAATCCAACCTTTGCCCTCCTCCTCATACCCTTCAACTAAGTTTTGGTTCTGGTTTTTGGTTAGCTGTGAATGGTGATTTTTTACCTAGGCATTTCTTCAAGCCAAAATAAAAGGAAATTCTCATTTCTTTTTGGAAAGACGATTGCTAAACTATTTCATTTCCTCTCAAACTTTCTCTTTCTCAAACGTCAGTCACCTCATACCATTTCAGTTCCATAGATGATGAACTTAGGTTCTGCTTTGTTCTGAAATAGTACCAAGAAAATTAGCTCAACAAATTCCGTGGTAACCTGTCACAGGCTTACATTGGAGATATGAGGCTCAGTTCCAGACCACAGCAAGAGTGAATATCATAAGAAAGCCAAGTCCCACAAAATGGTTCATTCCCTAGTGCCCATAGAAGTTATATTGACAATCTACTGTTATTACATGTGTAATAACTTTCTGTCTATAATATGTACATACCTTAATTTTAAAAAGTTTTACTGCAAGACAGGCATGGTGGTGCATGCCTATAATTCCAGCTATGTGGGAGGCTGAGACAGGAGGATCACAACTGCAAGGCCAGTCTCAGCAACTCTGTCATAAAATTTTAAAAGAAGGACTGGGATATTGTTCAGTGATGAAGTACTTTCCTAGCATTCCTGTGGCCCTGGGTTCAGTACCCAGTACTGCAAAAAACAAAAGGAAAAAATAAAAAGTTTCATGGCTATAAAAAAAAAAAGCTGACCTTCACATGAACCTTCAGTGATTCAAATGGAAAGTTTTGCCTCGATGTGATGGCTGCTGATTGGTCAGGGGGGTGGCTGCTGAAGACTGGGGTGACCACAGAAATTTGAAAAGTAACACAGCTTTGAATTTTCCCTCCTGGATTGATCCCTCCTTGCATATAAAAGAGCACATCTTTTGAAAATAGTGCCAATAGACTTCCTCAATGCAGGGAAGGTTGTCTCAACCTCCAATTTGTAAAAAAATAAAAATAAAAAACCTCAATATCTTTTAAACATAATAAGCATAATAAAGAGAAGGGTAATAAAAGTATATTATTTCCCATAGATGAAACTGGTGATCCAGGCAAAGATAAGTAAGCTTATCTTTTATGGGCAAATTTGCTTAAATGGTATCAAGGTAATTTCTACTCAAGCAAAAGAAAAAAGAAGATATAATAATGTACTTGAGTATGAATCTTTAAATTTAGAAGATAGACACTATTTTTTTCCCCAGTACTGGGGCTCAAACCCAGGAACTCATGCCTGCTAGGCAATCACTGAGCTATATCTCTTATAAATTTTTATTTTGAAAGGGTCTCAGCAAGTTGCCCAGGCAGAACTTGAACTTGTGATCCTTCTGCCTCAACTTTCTCAGTAGTTGGAATTCCAGGTCTGCCTTTTTTTTCTTCTTCTTCTTCTTCCATATATTTCAATTCTTATCCAAATAAAGCAAAATACCAACAATAAATTCACAGTTTAATAGAGAACAATTATACTAATCATGTTTCTTCATGTTGGATTATTTATTTAAAATTTGATTTTAATCTCAATCATCTTCAGAGAGAACGTTTAGGTTTCTGTACTCTGCAACATTTGTGTCCAGATTACTTGAAGGAATCCATAAATTTTACAGTTCTATAACCAATGCTTTATTTTGTATTATCTGACATGGCACATATTTATTATCTTATTTAATTTTACAAAGTAATTAATTGGAATATTACTCCCATTTAATATTTGGGAGAAAATGAAAAATAAGATGAAAAATGTACTTATAATCTGAAAGTGACCTATACTTCACAGATAGAAACCAAGACACAAGAATACTAGAATTGCTCTTCAGAACCACACCAAGTGTTTAATGTTATCTATGGTTTTCAACAATTGGAATGCAAACTTTGTGTTTATTTCCCTATTCTAAATCTTTGGGGGAGGGGAGAAAAATTTTTACAGAAAGAGAAAGTTTCCTGAAAAATCCATTAATATTCCAATTTCGATGTAAGGAAAATTTTGAATATTTTAATAGACATTCTGGAAAATTAAAATTTGTATATGTGGGAATGTCAACTTTTACAACAAGTATCACTGTAGTAAATATTGTCCTCAAATTCATATAAGATAAATTTTATACATTTAAGATTAAGCTACTTTTTAAAGTAACTTTGACCATTTTATTAGGACTTTTCTGTAGATTACTGATTCATAAAAACCACACCTCATCAATAACAGGTACTCAGATTTGTTGAATGAATGAGTTAATGAAATGTTCAAAAAAACAATCTTCAGAATAAATGGGTTAATATGTGTAAAATATCTTGTAAATAGTCAACTGTATACAATTTTTTACTGTTACTGAAACTATTAACCACAGGTACTCTGGCTTTTATTTCCCAGGGATGTACAGTTTATGCACTGCTCAACCAGAAGGGGCGCTCTTCCCTGGACTATGGTAGTCCAATCACAGATGTCAGTCTTGATAAATTCATAGGGTAGTGTTTTAATCAGCTTTTTTATTGCTGCAACCAAAAGATCTGACAATAACAATTGTAGGGGCTGGGGATGTGGCTCAAGCAGTAGCGCACTTGCCTGGCGTGCATGGGGCGCTGAGTTCAATCCTCAGCACCATATAAAAATAAAAAATAAAGATGTTGTATCCATTGAAAACTAATATATGTATATTATATATATATATATATATATATATAAATATATATAAATTCTCTCTCTCTCTAAAAATAAATAAATAAATAACAATTGTAGATAAGGAAAAGTTTATTTGGGGGCTCAGTCCATAGACAGAGGTCTCAGTCTAAAGGACAACCAGCTCCATTCCTTGGGGCTTGAGGTAAGGCATCAAAAGAGTGGCATTATGGCAAAAGAGTGTGGCAGAGATAAGTGGCTCATATAATAATCAGAAAGTGGAAAGAGACTCCACTTGCCAGATACAAAATGTATATACACAGGCATGACCTCAGTGATCCACCTCCTCCAACCATATCCTACCCAACTTCAGTTACCACTGGGTTAATCCCATCTGGAGATTAATTCACTGATTGGGTTAAGGCTCTCATAGCCCAATCATTTCTCCTCTCAACCTTCTTGCATTGTCTCGTACATGAGATTTTGGGGGACACTTCACATCCAAACCATATCAAGAAGTATGGTTTTGAGCTTGTGAATTAATGTCTTGAAACACTTCTAACAGATTGATTTAGTTCTTAATGTTTCTCTTTGTCTCTCTCTATACACAGATATATGTGTGTCTACCACCTCTGGACTGCACATTTGGACTAAAAAGCCCAGAGGGTAAATGAGATACAGGCAGCCAGGAAGCTAAAGATTAAGTAAAGGTCATCCTTTCATAAGGAAACAAACTTCACGACAAAAAATTTGCTTAACCATACAAATTTAATTAGTAAATAAAAAAAATTTTCATAAAATAAAATGGCTCCAGCAATGGATATTACATGCATTTTCTTTTTGTTATTTATGGCAAAAGTACTTATTTTCAGGCAGTATAGTTTCTAAGTGATATATTGCCATTTTAAAAATTTTAACTCAATGCATATTTCAATGCCTACAATGACATTCACTGAGTCAAGTCCTGCTCCAAGATTTACTACACAGGATAATAATTGTTAAGCAAACTGCCCAATGCCCAACATAAAATGCACATTCGACAAACTCTCTCATTTCTCTTTCCTTTTCTATGACCTATTGCAATTGTCACTCAGTGAAAAGGGGCCTGTGTATGTAAAAAAAAAAAAAAAAAAAAAAAAAAAGACTATCATTCACACATTGTAATTTCCAACATAAGCTTTTAGAAAAAGATACTAAAAAATCTATTAAAGAATGTTTATAAAAATCATTACATCGTACAATATATCTGATCATAGAAAAAATGGAAGTGTATCTTTCAACAACTAACTTTATATGAATGTTTAATGAGGACATAATTATCAGTTGGGCTTCAAATATTACTTGGGATGAAATGTCATACTATAGATCTGACTACTTTTTTCCAGAAATGTTTTTAAATAGCAGAAAAGTAAACTTTTTATCTTGTTCAAAATGTATATGGGCCTTAATACCAATAACCATAGAAGCTATGAGAATCACAATACAATTTTAATAACATAACTTTTAATCACACAATGTAGAATTACAAGTGTTTCATTAGCATAATTTATTGTTATGTTTACTTAAATACCATAGACTTGAAGTCAATTAGATACACAATTCTTTTCCTCCTGCACATAATTTTTCGTACATGCCTTCATTACTTATTCAAAGTGTTGCCACTTCCCAAATATCAGGCACATTCATATTCAAACACTACATACAAAATGCATTCTAAACTCAAGTAATACTTTTGAGTTTAAAATTTCAATACAAAGATTAATACAAACTTATGTAAAATATTTCATATTTAGGAATATTATCAATCAATCACTGGGTTATATAGAATTTTCTTAATAAAAAATATTGCCATGGAAGAATTTGAAAGAAATTTTATGTGTACTATGTATTTTTTTAGGTTATGAGTATTATAAATACTCGTAAGATTGACAGATAAAGATGTGCATTGTTAAGCAGCATGCTCTGAGGTCTTTCTTTAAAACATTACAGATCAAGGAGGAACTCAAGGAAAAAAACACATAATTAAAGACTTAGAAAACACGCTACAATTTGGTTTATATGAGAACTCACAGAAGGGATATTCACGCATTTAATGAAAGAATGCCTATATTCACTTTGAAGAGTCAGCAAATTGCTCGTTTTTGAACTTAACAACACTTGATCAAAAGTTATAGCCTTAGGTAGCCTTAAGGTTTTACATATTATTTTTCACAAATGCAAAGCTTAAATTATCTTTCCCAGAGGATATGCAGGGATGCAGAAAAGAAAAGAGGAAAATTAAAACAATGCATCTAGTTGCTTGCTTCTTGGGGACAGTGCCCTTAAATACACAAGATTTATCAAGTTATTATTGTTTTCAGACAATATGCTAAGGGAATTACTTATTCTTTCATTGATTCAATCCTATTAAAGTAGAAGTAGTATTAGTTCATCTTTTACATGCATCCCACAGTGGTCAAAAAAAACCTTTGCAAATCATAATGCTAGCAGTCAAGCTTTTGACAGTAGACCTTCTCTTACAGTGTAAGAAAAACCATAAAACCTGACAAAGTGAGCCTGGGGGTCATTTGATGGAAAGTAAGGCACACAACATCACTTAGCTATTCTCACACTACCTGTTACCATGTCACTGAAGAAACTGGTTAGAAAATCATTGTTCTGGAGACACAAGTTGCTCACAAGATTCCCTTATCAAATGGTGAGCCCCAGCTGCGGATATCAGAGTGTCCCAACACTGTGAAAGCAAATTATGTGATTATGTACATAATTATTTTAAGGTTTCAAGATATTCATGACATAGTACCACAGATTGTTGAAGTATGTTGACTTCATTATATTAAACAACACTCACGTTAGTACTACACCACTAGCAAAATAACTAAGGCTTAAACTGTGTCAAATATCTGTTAAAGTAAATTGCTTTTCATGAAATCAATCAATTATGTAAAAGTCACTTGCAGCAGAGGAAAACTGTAATTCCAGGGTTGAGAGATATAGTTGCTCAGTGACCAAATACTTGGCTAACACGCATGAGTGTTAGGGTCTGTAAACAAGTCAAGATGGCGCAAGGAGCTGGGATTGATCCTCAGCACTGCAATAAAGAAAAACTAGTGGTGTGTGTGTATAATTCTATGTTTGAAGGAATCCCTACAACTTCAATTTTCAGATTTAAAGAAAGTTGAATCTAAAAGTATTCAATAACTTCAGGTATATTTCCTAAAAACTAATTTTAATTAATTAATGTAACTTTTTAATATTTTTTAGTTATAAATGGACACAATATATTTATTTTATTATTTATTTTTATATGGTGTTGAGGGTCCAACGCCTCACACATCCAATGCAAGTGCTCTACCACTGAGGTATAACCCCAGCCCTCATGCAACTTCTTAATGTAAAAGATATACCTCATTCTTGAGCTAAATTACAGGGTAAACATTTCCATTTTTAAAAAGTCTTTATTAAAGAGTGCTTTAAGAAAAAAGGCAGTATACATAACTAAAATTAACTACTAACATTTTCTTGTGATCCATTGTAGCTCACTTATATGAATATAACTGCTTAAATTTAGCACCATTTTTATATATCAAATTGATATGCTATAGTTATTAAAAATGCTTTTTCTCTACAATCTATTCTTCATGTCTTTGTATAGTACAAACACATATGATCCAGGAAAAAAAATTATTACAAATGTGCACATATGCTTAATGAAGTCTCTGAGTTTTTCCTTTCTTTTTAAAATGGAGATGCTTCAAAGGTAGAGAAAACCCTGAGTTTGGTTAAGTAATTGAAGTAAACATAAGAGAGAGTCACTAGTATATTTTTACAAAGTCCCAGTATGGGTGTAATAGTCCCCAGGACAATAATTAAACTAAGTCTCACAAAAACAAAGGGTAAATCCTGTAGTAGGATGCCCAAGGAATTCAGAAGAGGGTTCTTGGGAGTGAATATTATTCGAAGAAGAGAAATGAAACTGAATATGTAGACTGGGTACAGCCAGCCCGACTTGTACACAGCCGAGTGACCAGCAACACGCAACATTTCCACGGTGTCTGACCACAGCAGAAAGCTCCACAGGAATACCTCTGCCCGGACATCTCTGCGGGACATTGTTCTCAGGATTCCAGAGTCAAAGGAGGGCTCCTGGGGTCCCACTAAGACGGGAACATGCCTTTGAGTCACTGCTCCTAGTGGCCGCGACACTTGGATGGGGTTGGCTCTCTGGGGAGACGCAGGGCTGACTTCATTTTGTCTCACTTGCTCCGTCACAGTTTTTATTTGTTGCAAAGAGGTTGTGTGGATGTGCCCATCTTCATTGCCTGCAATCAATGGATTTATTTACATTTTAATTTAAAATTTTAATATAAACTGTATTAAAATTTAAAAATCCCAAATTTGCCCAGCATGGTGGTGCGTGTATATGATCCAAATGAGCCTGAGGCAGGAGGATCACAAGTTCATGGCCATCTCAGCAATTTAGTAAGACCTTGTCTTGAAATAAGAGTGGTAAAGAACCCCTGAGTTCAATCCCTGGTACCAACAACAACAACAACGATAATCTAAAAATTCAAGTTAAAAGAAAATTGTTAGTGGTTTCCTTATTTGAAGCCTATTTTTTTCACACAGAATATAAAAATGTGCTGCATGCTGAAAAAAATACAGAGGTTGAGAAGGTTCTTAGTGTCTGAGTGTCTTTCTGGTTATGAATCCTAAGTACTTTTTTGAATTGATTTTATTTTTTAAATACACAACAGCAGAATGCATTACAATTCTTATTACACAATTAGAGCACAATTTTTCGTATCTCTGTATATAAAATATATTCACACCTATTTGTGTCTTCAAACATGTACTTTGGATAATGATGTCCATCACATCACATTCCACCATCATTGCTAACCCCCTGCCCCCTCCCTTCCCCCTCCCACCCCTCTGCCCTATCTAGAGTTCCTCTATTCCTCCCATGCTCCCCCTCCCCTCCCCATTATGTGTCAGTCACCATATATCAGAGAAAACATTTGGCATTTGTTTTTTGGGGGTCAGCTAACTTAGCATTATTTTCTCCAACGCCTCTCCTCAGTCTAAGTCATTTTTACCATTTTATTGTAACAGCCATTATTTTTACTGAATTAAATGCTTTTATGCACTATTTAGTCCTCGGGACAAAATAAGAGTATCTCATTTTACAAATTGGAAACTGAGGCCCAGGAGGTTAAATCCATACACAGTTAGTATGCACAGAGTTGGAATCCACACCCAGCTTTCTTTGACTCTAATTGACAACTCTTAACCTTAAAGCTGCTATTACCAGTCTAAAAGCATTACAAAATATATGAGTATCAAAAAATCAAATTAAAAGTTCACCAGTCCAACTTTACCATTTTGTAAGATAAACAGACTGTAAGATAAACAGAGTCACTTCACCCCCATTCTGTAAGTGGGGAGTTTAACAGTAAGAGGGAATCTGTATTATCACTAGAGAATCAGAGTAAAGTGTGGAGGTTGGAGATTATGAAGGGACCCTCAAATCTCAAAACCCACACCAGATGTTGATGGCACTGTCCATTTTTGCTGCTGTCTTTGATGCTGGGGACTAAACTCAGGGTTGTATGCATGCTAGGCAAGTGCTCTACCACTGAACTACATCTCCAGCCCAATGGCACTGATTTCATACATGAAAGGTATAGCACATTCTTTTTCAAACACTTATCTCCTTAAGCATTATTTTTGTTGCTAGGAATTCGCCAGGCCTTGATAAAGTTTACGCAGTGAACATACTCAGCTGCCAAGTTACCTGATAAGACCGAATTTAAAGGGAGACATTAGATTGAATAGCTCTAAAGGTCAAAGAGACAAAATCAATAAAAATTTGTTTTGAACAGCACTGAGCTGAAAACAAGAACATTTTAAAATAAATTATGATTAAGGAGTAATAAAATGCTTGGTGATGACAGGAGTGTTTTGTTAAAGGACACAATAAAATTTGTTGTCATAAAACTAACTATTTTTAAATTTTAAGATTGAATTGAGTATTTTTATTAACTAAAAAGATTATCTAAATTCTTAATGAAACATTAGTTCTGGTGTGAATTATTCATAAGTAAATAGTAGGACCCATGATTCTTTGAAACCTCTTTACAAACCTCAGAAGTCACAGTGGCTTCAGTGGGTATCATCTTAACAAACAATACTCAAGTCAGAGGTAAAATAATACATATTATTATTATTTATTCATGAAATTATCTCTTTTTAAACTTAGAAGTTCACTTGCCCTTCTCATTTAATTTTTTAAAAAATCAATAGAGAAAGAATGGTTCTTAATAGAAAACAGTAGAATAGCCGAAGAGGTTCAGGGGAGTGAAAGTGGAGGTACTGGGTGTGACACCCTGCATAAATATGTCACAGTGAATCCCACTACTATGTATAATGCAGCAATTTAAAAATACATAAATTTCTTGGCATACGTCATGCTGTAGAGAACTCTCCTTCACCTTCCTTAGTAGAAAAAGTTCTTTGAATGAAAATCTAAATCCCTTTGTGAACATGAAGAGCCATAGTGTATGATTTGGACTTTTGAAAGATGATTGCAAATTCAGCATTGTTTCAAGGCCAGGAAGTGGCTGGCCATTTAAGAAGTGAAACATTAACATTTTCTAAACAGTCAGTGAGATTAATAACAGCTGAGAGTAAGAGCTATGGGTATGAACAATGAGTTCCACGCTGGAGTTCATTTTTGATGAGATATTAGACTCTAATCCATGTGTATTTTGTCCTCTTTTCAATTTAATATGGATTAGTTCAGATTTTGAGGTACAGGGACTCTGTCAGGTTTTGTTTTTTTGTTTTTCCCAGCAAAAAAGTCCAGGAACTATTAACTGGAAATTTCTGTTGCCTTCCCAGCAGGGCAAAGGTGAGTTAAAAAGCCAAGAAATCTTTTTGTCACTGGTTTGGATCAGCAAACATATCTCTAAGCATTTGTATACACAATATTATGTAAACATTTGTATGCTCAATATTATCCCCTTTGGCTCTGTGATTAGGTTCCTCTTCAAATTAATACTTTATAAACTTCCACTTAGAGCTGAGATTCTTTTTCCTGTTGTTAGTTTGTTACTTGTTCTATTTTAGTTAGTGTGTGTGTGTGTATGCATCCCTAAAAGATATAGGCATGAAGAGAGCAATCCACTCATATACTAAGAGATCACAGTGACTGTAACAAGTAAATATAGTAGCTACTCTGCATAGCTCTCCATATCTAACGTCAGTTGCTGAAATTACTTTTTAGCTTCACTGCAAACTAAATAATTGAGACAGTGTTATCTGGTAAGCAGACAAATGTGGAAGTAGCTCACTCCTATCTATTTGACTTTACTACTATTTCTATTGCTTTAGTTCTACTTCTAACTTGTTCCCTAAAAGTCTATGATAGTTTAGGAGGAATGAATACAACACAACCTGACAAACCGGTAGTGAGGCATTTTCTATGTGACTATGTATTCCTCCTACAAAGACAACAGGAACACATGAGTTACCTCAATCAAGAGGGAAGAAAAGAAAGAGGAGTCACAAATCAGGACTGAAGCTGATATTGCAATGTGCTAGTTGGACTGCCAGCTGCCTGGGTGTTCAAGGGCTGCATGGAGCCTAAACTGGACATCAGCCAAAGAGATGGCAAATAGTATGGAGACAGTCCGCTCCTCATGCCTATGAGTCTCCTTTGCTCATACCAATAAATACAAAATAATAAATGGTGACAGGTCTTTGAAAGGAAAATAGAGTCATCCCTCAGTTCTGGTTCCTAAACACCCATGGGAACCAAAATCTATGGATGCTCAAGACTCACCCTCCTGCCCCCCCCCCCCCCCCCCCCCCCC